AGGCTTTCTTGTCTTTGTTGTTAAATTTAAATTATAAGTTCAATCTGATTATACGCAATTAAGAATAAAATTAAAGGCCAAATAGATGAGTAGCAGTTAATAAATGTGATTTCAAAACAGTACTATATACTATCTAGTACTATCATATATCCTCGGGCCAGGGAAGGTTGACTCAGCATTTCAGCCCTTTATTGGGTCGATAAAAGGAGTATCAAGCAGGCTTGGGAGTTAAACACTAGGGGCTTCGTGTTGGGCTGACCACCCAACTGGAACATTTACTCTTGCACCTCAGAGCCCAAAGGACAAGAAAACTGGGATGTGCACAGTAGAACATGGCCCTCTATGGGCTATTGCACCACTGAGTTTTAAGAGTAACTATCATATTACATGGCATATTGGTACATATACTCTTGGAAGATGGGTGCCTAGGGAAGTGCGTTTCTCTCATTCTGCTAGTCCAGAAGGGGTTAAGGCATGAATAAAAAGTTTCAAATAATATTTGTTTGCAAAAGTTTCTACAGCATTTTCTTTTAACAGTAAGCTTCCTTTAAACTTCTGTTCAATTCTTTTTGGAAATTGCTTTTGCCTTTATAATTATTCTTGCAGCATTTGCTTATTTTATAAATTTTAAAATTATAATAGTAAATTCATAAGTGCATTTATTTTTATTAATTTATGTAAATAGCCAAGTCTTTAAAATTTGACTAACAAAATATTGGTCAAAATAATGATTTGCAACAGTTGTAACTTACTGCTAATTATAATTTTGAAAAGATATTTAAAAACTTACGACGACACCCCAGATGGCCCAGGCTATTGACACCTTAATCAGATCCCAATTTCTAGCATTACCAAAAGTATTCCTTTTTTTTTTTTTTTTTTTGATGCAAGAACAGGCTAACATAAATTTTTTGTTTGGCATTATCAAAACAATCAGTCTAATAGTAATATACTTTATGATATAAAACTTTAAAAAAATATGAAGATTGTAATAAAAATCTATGTGTTTTAAAAGCTCAAAAATAAGCATGCATTCTCAAGTCTAGCTAGACATGAATGAGGAAAACAAAAGTGATTTGATCCGGAAAACTTAAAGTTGGAAAATAAGGGCAAAAACAAAACTAAAAAAATGCAAGAGCCGAAAGTGAAACAGATAAAGAAAAATAAAGGAGAAAAAGCAAAACTAGAAAGATACACAGCAGCTGAGGAAAGCAAATCAGGACAAAGTGCAATTGAAAAAAAGGGGTGTGTCTCCATTATGTGCCACACTATGATAAAGTCATAAACATTTAAAATTCAATGTATGTATGAACTATTTATATTAGTTGATAATGAAAAAAATTGCTCTACACCTATGCGAACTGTGTTAACAAGATTTTCATATCTTTCACGGCTACCACAGACTTTCAAGTTTTGTTTTTTAGCTTTATTTTCCCTATTTTCACTGGCAAACTGACTCTCGAAACATGACGACTTATTATCTTTATTTTTTTAAGCAAATAAAGTGTTATATCATTAAGTATATCTATCAGTTTCAGTTTCTTGGAATTATTCAATATACAACTTTGAAATTTGTCAGATCCTGTAAAAAATTTCTTTAGAAATAACCTGTCAGAAAAGATGGAGAAATATAGACTAATGTTATTGATTTATTTTATTGCTGATTAAAGAAATTAAAAAATCACACCTATAATTTGCAATTATTAAACTAATTGTCCCCAAAAACAATTCTAACATGAGTTTTAATCTAGCAAATTCTTGTCATAAAATGGGCCACTACATAACTGTTCTACTAATCTTAACACTTCCGAAGCTTTTAATTCCCCTCTATTGCCACTACAAAACATGAAAACAAAGAAAACGACAAGAAAAAGAAAAATCATCTCAACTTTCACACAGTGCCCTTTACCCTCGACCAAATTTATCAAAAGAGAGGAAACTAGTGACAGAAGACTTTGTTTAGAATGAAGAGAAATGGGATAACGTAACAGTGAGCTTTTGTTCTACTTTTACTCTAGCTCTAAAATTAATACAGGCTGAACATCAATGTGTTTTCAATCATTTGTTCAAAATGAAAAACCAAATTGGAACATTTTGTATTTACATGGTAAAATATACATGGTGTTTATAAAGTTCCGGACCCATTTTGATGTTTAATAACTCATAAAATAATAAAGGTAGATTAAAATTAATAACATAAATGGTTAGATAGACTCAAAAAGTTTCATGACCCTTGTCAATGAACTTCCACGTGTGCCCCCTTCGTCGCATGGAGAATATCAAGTCGATAGTCAATTTCACGTCAGGTAGCGGCAAGCAGGTCGGCATCCACAGGGCTACTGCGGCTGTAATTCTGGCCTTTAGGTCATCAATGTTCGACACGATCCTCCTGTAAACATTGTCCTTTATAAATCCCCCCAAAAGTCAAGCGACGTTATATCAGGTGACATGCTTGCCACTACCTGGCGTAAAATTGACTATTGACTTGATATTCTCCGTGCGACGATGGGGATACACGTGGAAGTTCATTGACAAGGGCCATGAAACTTTTCGAGTCTATCTAACCATTTATGTTATTAATTTTAATCTATCTTTATTATTTTATGAGTTATTAAACATCAAAATGGGTCCGGGACTTTATAAACACTCTGTATAATTACAGATGTGGAAACTTCCCAAACTAGTTACCCGTAGTACAATAACACAGATGCTTGTGAAATTCAAATAAGCGCAATTATAAAGTGCATATACTACTTAATTAAGCATAGGTATATAATATTAACAAAATTACTCATAAAATTACTACTAAATACCAAAAAAAGTAATACTTAGATAAAACTCTTAATTTAAAACTACAACACAGAAAATCCATACGTAATTCATGATAAAATGACAAAATTAGATAGATTAATTGGAATCAATATTCCAGTTTTTAGTTAAATTAGAAAATACAGGTTAAATTACAAAACCCTTATTGCCTACAGCTATTAAACGGATAATTAATATTAATTAAACACATTAGAAAAAGATAAAAACACTCCTCTTTTATAGCTATCATATTCCTTATTTGGTTAAATATTTCTTAACCCAATGACTGCTCCAGATTCAAGCAGTTCACGTGGCAGCAGTAGTGATTGCTGGGGACTGAATACCGTCTTGCCCGATATGGGTCTTCTCAGAAATATATTAACGCATCATAATATCATACATAATCGAATTACTATTACTTTGCCCACTCTAAAAAGCTCAACAAAAAAAATTTCCAATATATATTGTTTATTCCTTAATGATAAAGTTTTAGAACGCTATGATTTGATAGTGATGTGTCTGGATATTGAAAGCCGAACAAGTAACATAATACTCTATATTTAAACAAAATCCTTGCTTAAAGAAATAAGACCAAAAATGCAATTAATTGGTGAAATTTTAAGGCAAGTATAAACAAATGGAATAGCTCTCCTTTTATGTTGTCCGAAGACAACATATTTTCTTCCTCATTTGTTATAGGGAAGACTGAGTGCTTCGATTCTAGTGAGTTGTTTTTTAGCGAACATTTCACAAGGTAAGAAGGAGCTGCCATATTGTTTCTGCAGTTAATTCAAGGCATCTGGGTAAAAAAATTTGTTTTACTATGTTAGCTCTTTAATAATCTTTTGTTTTTAAACTAGTCTTATCAGTTGGTCATTACAGTAAAAAAAAATTCTTCCCAGCCCAGCTTCATTTAGTGAGGATTCAAACTCTAGCCCAGAGAGAATCCAAAAAGATTTAGTTCAGTAATAGCATGATACAGTAGGGAACCGATTATCGGGACCATCGCTATTCCGGATAACCGGTTTGTTCCGGTTTTCTGAATCGCGACAAAAAGCCCTTTTTTTTTATTGTTAAACCCAACTAAAAAAAGAAATATTTGGAAATAATCTTGAAAAAACAAAGTAATACACTAATGATTATTTCCAAAATGATGGTAAGGTAAACATCTTTCAAAAAAGAAAGAAATATCCTAAAATCTTATGAGCGAAAAAAAAATTTTTTTTAAAAAATGGCGGAAAAATTTATCGAATTTCGTTCCGGTTTTTCGGTTTACTGATTTCCAGATAACGGGTTCTGTGCTGTATTTTGTTTTGCTAACCTATGCTTCCAAGGTAAGAACAGGTACAGCATGCTGGAGTATGACCAGGTACTATAATTATGATATAAAGTAGACTTAAAATATCAGGATAAAGAAAAAACATTAAAAAATGTGCTATCAATTAACAGATAATTGTTCTGAAGTGACTCATAAAACATAAAAGGAAAACCTCAAAACAAAACTACCAAAAAAGAGAATTATATGAAAAACCAATATAGCAAAACAGTTTTATCAACAATAAAAAAAAATAGAAGAACAAAATTTTTATTCGATATTTTTTTCCGATAAAGAAGATTAAAACACACCAGACATTGATAGTTTATATAATAATGATGTATAGTAGGATAAGAGTGGGTGAATAGACTTTTCAAAAAAAAAAAATCATCAAAAAAGTAGTGCATCTATGAATTTTTCAAAAATTAAGCACAAGTAAACAAAGAATTCCACGATTAAATCGAACTGTTTCTAGGTAGGTTAAACAGTTTAGCTCCAACAGGCTTTTGAATCTTAGCTACCTGGTCTTACCTATATGTACAACAGATGAAACACAGACTGATTGAACAAATAAAAAATTTCTTATTTTTTATGCTAATTAATGATTGATGAGATTTCATAAAAGAGGGGAACTATTCCTAAAAGCCTTCACACTCCATCATATTAAAGCCATAGTCAAAAAACAGTGAATGAGTATATAACTCCACCTATGCATGATAGAAAATTTCAAGATAGGAAAATTTAATAAATTAAGTTTTTCTTTACCAAGCATTACAAACAGTTGGTTCACCCTTAAAGATTTTTTGAAAAGCTTAATATTTTAGTTTCTTGTTTAAAATTATAGATGTGCTTTTAAGATTAAATAACTTAGACTTGCCTATCTGTAGGTGGATTTTCAGCAATAGGAGTTTTAAAGTCGTCATGCCGAGATTCCCAACAAGGTGCTAACCTTACTGGATCAAGTAGAGATTCTTGTTCCATAGGATTTACAACATCTGAAAAAGATTGCAATTATTACTTCCACTACAAAAATTATCCATTTCATGTCTTAATCTACTTTAAACATAAATCCATACATTTTTTTAGATATGACAGGAATTTAATCAACTAATTTTTTAAAAAAAATTAAACAAATAATAAATACAGTAGAACCTTGATTGATTGTTTCTCATGAAATCATACATTACAAATGATAGATACGAAAAATTTAAAACATTGCCGTAAACATGGACTTGCTGATTATTACACTGTGCTTACTGGATTTTGTGTGGAGAACTTGTTGCCATGAATGGCGAATATCTATGGGTCTCATCTGCCCACCGAGAGGCACACACTTCTTATTATTTTACATATTTTATGATGCTCTTCGCCCATTGAGATAACTCTATTTTGCATTGGATTGCAAGGCTTATGCTTGAAAATATAAGATATACGAGGGTTATTAATGAAATTAAAAAATATGTAAAAACATTTAAACACTGGTGAAAATAAAAACTCAGTCTGAAAAAAAACTCCAAAATTAAATTTTCTTCTTCTAAATGTATTTAATATATTTTTTATTTGATTTTGTTCTGCTGCTTCTTTATTTATGCTTATGCAGTGTCCTTCCTTAGCATTTTTAGAAGGGCGGCCTACCCTGTCTGCCTCTTGATCCCTATAAATGTGCAGGCATTGCCCTTTTTAGTAAAAATAAGCACCCATTCCTTAAAAACACTGCCTTTTTTTATTCATATTCTATTCTAAAAAAAAAAAACTATTCACTGTTCAAATAATAGTTAAACACTTGTAAAATTATCTGTGTTTATAGGTTTCATACTAATCACTATTACAATTTTTTATTTTGTTAAAATTATTCTCTCCCCTATATCATTAAGCCAAAGGGAAACAAATGTAATGATATGGGCAGTAAAATAATAAAAGTGCCTTACCTAAAGTGCCTATACGTTTCTTTGTAGGAAGGATGGATGTACCACTACTTGAGATATAATGTAGTGGTACAGAATCACCCCTGTTTTTCATTTGGAATTGGTCCTTTAAAGACATCCTCTACATTCTAACCTAGAAGAAAAAATAGTTTTTTAGAAGAAATAATTTCAAGAAAAAGGACATTTGGTAATTAGAAAATAGGAATAATTTTTTTTCATACCATATATGTAAAATGCAACTAAATTCAGAGCCAAAAAAGTTAACATTTAAAACTTTTTGAAATTTTAATTAAATTTAATTAAATTAGAAATTTTAAAAAGTATGAATGCACGACAGAAAAATTAAAATCAAATTACAACATTTTAAAAGCCATTCAAATAGTTATGGCAACACGAAATTCTTCCAAGTAGCACAATTTAATGATATTTTCTAAAGTCAATGATTAGGATCTAATGGCTATGATCTAATAATTTACTCACATGCAGAGCTTTTTCGATAGAATGATTGTACAGTGTGCCACTAAAGTTTAGACACTTAGAATTCATCTATAAATTTTAAAATAATATATGTACCCCCAAATTTTTTCTACAGCAACTGTAGTAAACAGTTGTGAGACGATTCAAAGTAAAAGAAAAGTAATAGACTAAAAAATTAAAACAAAAATAATAATATTCAAATTTTTACTTGCCCAAGTTTTTACACAGGATTAGATAAATTCAGATTCTTAACAAATAAAACTAAGTTAGTCTTAACATTTTCAGCTCTCATTAAATTTATACACAGCACCAATGTCAAAGCAGTTCATGCAAGAAGAAATTTCTATCAGATCTATTTTAAAAGATGCCTTTCATACATATGTAATAGGAAGAAATGCTCGCAGTTTTTCTTTTCAAGTTTTGAGAATAAAAAAAATTTCCATAATGATTGACTTCAGCTAGAATTTCAAATTGATAATATAACATTTAATTCCGAAATTGCAAGAATTTAAAAGATAGGTAGGAAATTCTATTTTTTTTTTTTTTTCAGTTTATTTCACAAGATCACTAAATTTTAAAAAACATGTCTGAGTGAAAACTCTGTTACTCATCAAGATTTATAGCAAAATAATTAAGAATCATTGTGGTCTATTTATCCATCCCTTTTTTTCATTTGTTTTAAATAAAAAAGATTTTTAAAGTGATATTATGCATATGATATATTATACATTAAAATCGTGCATTTAAGTCTTCCCTTTATTGCTCACATGATAATTTGCACAAATTCATCCTATATATCGAGTGGAGTAAAAAGTTATTGCGTTTTTTTCCCCACGACAGATTGCTGTAGTGCAGTTTCAGAAATACTTAAAGCATTTGCAATAGTAATATTTAGGGATAGCTGACAGTTTAAGCTTCATTGTAAAAAACGAATTAAGCTGTTTTGCTGAGTTTTGGAGATTTGACAGCTCGTTGAACATGGAAGATCAAAGTGCTTATTTGTGCCAAATTCTGCTATTTTACTTCAGTAAAAGGAAAATTGTATGTCAAGTTAAGGAAAAATTGCGTAAAGTTTACAATGACGATGCTCTATTAAGTGTGCACAGCCTCTTTCAGCGAAGGGCCATTTACACAGCAGTTGGACTAACAAAGAGAGGAACATATGTTTAACCATGTTGGTGGCAAACATGATAATTTTTATGACAAACTTTAGAGTTCTAAGAACTACATTTCTTACAAATAAACTTAGTAATGTTTTTGCAAATAAACTTATTAATGTATACTTTTAGTTATTAGAATTTATTCAAAAATGAAAAAACATGCCTTTTCAAATTTTCTTTTGAAAAACATTTCGAAAAATTTTTAAAAAACATGCCTTTTCCTTTTCATCAATAATTAATTTATTTAAAAAAATATGTATGCAGATCTACAGATAAATATTGAAAAAGAAATAGAAATTCTAGCAAAGAAAAACTAATGCTCACAGAATAAAAGTGTAAAAAAAAAATATACAAAACGGATTTTAATAATTAATTAAAATCGAAATAAATATTTTAATTAAAGAATATTTAAAGGGTTTAAACAAAAACTAAAACAAAACCATTGTAGTGTAAAATAAGAGTTAATATTTATTTGGTATTATACTTCAGACATTTCTACTACTTCAATTTTTTGAGGTTTCATTAATTTTAAATAGAACATGTTTTCTTTTTAAAAGATCTCCTAAGCAACAAAAAAAATTTTTTAATAAAATTACAAAAAGTTAGCAGTTTAAAAATAAGAGTTTTCTTCCTATTTTCTTAATGTTTCTGGTTGCAACAACATTGCATTGAGATATCCAAATTCTAAATACCACGTGCAAATGCATGGCTCTAGCTGCCGAAAAAATGACTAAAATCAACTTATATTTACAATGAAATATGCACAAATTTTATCAAAGAGTAATTATTTAAATGTGCAATTAAAAACTTGTGTGTCATAATATCATTTTAGTTTAAATAACAGGGTTGTCCAATTCAAGAGATAAAGCATCACAATTGCAAGGGGAAAAAAATGCTCTAATTTACGATGAAATCAACATAATAAAGTTCAACAAATATCTAAAAAAAAAAAAACATGTAAAACATATTACACATTTTTTCTAGTAGTTTACCTAGTAAATGTCAACTAATAATTACATTTTTTTACGATATCCCGTAATATCAACTAATAATTTACGATATCCCGCTTCGTTCATTTTTTAAAGCTAGTCTGACAGAAAATGCTAAACCGGGGCACCATTGCATGTCTTTCCAGTGTAGTAGGATTATGCTTTCACTCTTTTACACTTATTAATTCACACATTCAAAGTAAAATTTTAAAACTATGTCTTAGTATGTAGATAACCAATTTCTAAATAGATAACCAATCTTTACCATACTTTGTATATAATGCTGAATCTTCACAAAAAAAATATTTAAAGGATTGCAAATTAATATTTGAGGAAAAAATCAAACAAGGAAGTTATCAAAATCTAAGGAATCATGATTGAAGTCAATCATACTAAATGTAGAATTGGAAGAATTAAAATCAGTTTATTTGTTGGGGGAAACAAAAAGATTATTTGGTTTGATGTTTTGTTTTCAACTTAAATATTTGATACTTCGCTTTAAATTAAAAGCTATTTTAATCAAGATTACTTATCTGAGGATGGTACTAAAATTTATAATAAGTTATTATGGTTGTTTTGTGTTATATACCTTTTACATATATTTCCTAATTTTTTTGTCAGCATTTTGAATTAAAAACTATAATAAATTAGGACTGACAATTAGAATAGCGTTTCTTCACGTGATTAAAAAAAATGATGTTAAACAATGTTTTAATTAACGGATTCTCAAAGAAAGTTAAAGAGCTCATGTTTCAAAACAAGTTCTTTCAGTTGAAATAGGATAAAAGGAGCAAATTTTTTACTATGCCAAGGACGTACAATAGGCTAGTTTCCCTAATGCATAAAACTATGCAGATTAACACGGTCAAAAGAAACTATTTTTAATGCTTGTTATAAAATACGTACGATAAATTTTTAAAAAAATTTCTTTATTTAAAACGCACATTTCTATGACACTCAAAATAAAACAGACAAAAGAGTTAAGCACGTGCTACAAGAGAAAAATGAAGTAATTATTAAGACTTACCAAAATAAAAATTGTCTTGACAGTCTATTTTAAGTTCATAAACAAGAAAGTAAACAATCCATCAATTCATATTTCGATATGATCAAGTATGTGTGGTCCCACAAGTGACCTCAGATGGTCATAAGAAACTCGCTTGCTTATGGATGGTTGACCGTGTAAAGCACAGATGGCGCTAGTGATTAAATGTTGTAAGACTTCCCGGTTACTACTTCCGACTGATTTTTATGCCTATGCTTGAATAACCGCGCGATCCAATATTACTAATGGCGTTTTCAATACAATATATTCTTGCTCTTCTTGTATAACTTTCAACGAACAAACAACAAATGAATTCGGAAGACTCCGAAAACTTTAAATTACTTAAAAAGCTTGTTATATGTAGATCAACCCGATGGATCGGTAGGGTTTAGTATTATGGAGCAGCAAATTGCTAGTGCCCAAGGAAGCAGATCCAAGACCCCCTTTACGGAAAAATCAAAGTATTTTTGAGGTATAAATGAGGTATTTTTAAAGATATAAAGGAGTTTGTTATTTAAATATGTCGTTAGGTTGAAAAGGGGGCAAATGAATACCTCAAATATACCTCCAGAGGTATATATGTATTAACCTGAGGTGTTTAATTTTACATCTGTGGAGAGGTAGATATTTGCTACTTTGAAGTGTTTCGTTTCCAACCTTAGATTATTACTTATCAACCTGAAGTTTATTTTTTTATACTTGTGGAAGTATTTATTCAACAACCTAAAGTGTTTCATTTTACACTTAATTCATTAACAGGCTATTATAAATCTACCTCAGGCGTATTTTTCGTCAGTTGAAAAGGTAATTTCTTACTAACGTGAGGTGTATTCTGTTCAACCTCAGGTAATTATTTTGCAAACTCAGGACGGTCTCAAGAATTCAGTCGGGTGTTATGAAAACAAATCTTACAACTACTGGAACTGAAGAGTGACTTTGAATGGGCTGAATAGATTTTAAAAGTACGACGTTTTCGTTATTCGATTTCTCAGGAACAATTTGGCCGATTTCGCTCAAATTTTGTATTTTGCCATCTTAAACTAGGGGAGAGTGGGGTCAATTGTAACAGGGTACGATTGTAACAGAGCAAAAATTTCGAGTGTCGGGTTCTAGATTTGGTTCCTAGGTGGCGCACAAGGTGTATTTAATAAATCTACATGTACACCCCTGATGGCAACCATTTTTATGTACTTTTGAAAGAGTTACATCACAAAAGATATTTTCACGCCACGCAAGTACTTTTTTTGGTATTAGAATATTATATTGTAACAAAGTAATTTTGTTTAAACAAATAAAAATTAGTAACCGAATATGTAAGTGGACACTTTAATTAACATTTCAATAAAAAAAAGATTAGTTTTGCTAATTAACTAGCATTGTTTTTAACAAATGAAGCTGAAATGGCGTCTTGGGGACAATTGTAACAATAAGTAAAGGGACGATTGTAACAGCTGAAAATAAATAATCTTATGTTTACAAACCATTACTTAACTCTTTAAGAACCACCAATAGTTTCCTATATCATTTATATTATGTTGCATGTGCATTATTTTATTTGTCACCTTTCACAGCATAAATTAAAATTTTTAACCCCTTAAAGTTAAAAGTTTAACCCTTTAGGTCTCTGCTCATTATTATTTTTACTCCTAAAATATCACTACTATTTTGATCAATAAAAAAATATATCACAACTATGATAATATGTATAATTAACTATGTTTTAGTTGAATTTATGAACTGTTACAATTGACCCCGTAAGTGGGGACAATTGTAACAAGTGCACGACTGTCAAAAATTGTTAATAACTAATATAATAACATTTAAAATCAGGTATTTATTTTTTTTTCTAGTAGAGGATAGTCTACTTTACTCGTCTGTCAATTAATACTAATAATATATTGGATTTTTTGTTAGTTAAAAATAGTTAAGTAAAAAATGTTACAATTGACCTCACTCTCCCCTACATTCCTTAAAATGATGTAAAAATTTATATACCTTACAATTCAAAAGCTTTTCGGTTATTAATAAATAAAATAATAAATATTTAATGAAATTTATATTTCGCATGGGATTATCTTTGGAAAAACGAATTTTATAATTGTGTGCAAAAAATTTTTCATTCAGTTAGAAAGTTTTCGAGATAAACGCAAAAAGTAAAATTAACATTAAGAGATTTAAACATCGAACCGCTCTCCTAATCAAACTACTGGGATCATATTTCTCAGATTGTGGATACCCCCTGTATTTTAGGGTTCAGAAATAGGAATCAATAATGTAATCCCTTAATGCAATGTTGAGAAATATTTTGATTTCGTTGATAAACACCATACACATATTATTACTTGTAATTGAAATATTGCAGTATAGTACATAGTATGAACTTGTAACTAAGAAAGTCAATTTTAAAAGGCACAAAATTTAGACCCATGTACCATATATCAATTAATGAAATTCAAAAATACTTCCCTAATGACCTCAATAATTTTATTTTTACAAATATCAAATAGATCATCTTTACCTTTATATATGTTAACAGAATGGAAATGGGCTGTTTGTTAATCCTTAAAAACTTTATTTTTAATAATAAGAAAAATTTAAATAGCAGTAAAAATTCAACAAAATTTTCTAAAATTGATTGATTAAGCGATTACAAAGAAAAATTGTATTTACCCCTCATTGACGAAGCTAACCCGAATTATGTATCTTCTGAAAAAAATTCCACGTTGAACGTTTAAATATGGAGTTTAAAAAATAGTAAAAATTTTAAACGTAGTATTTTAAGTAATAATATTATCATCTTTTTTATCTTATAAAAAGCTTTATATAAAAGGTTAAAAATTGAAATTAATAATATATAATTTCCATACTCAATTATCAGTCCAAAATTTCTATTAAACTTAGAACAACTACTTTTGGGTCTGTACATACCTATCTAAAACTAGCAATATTTTCTCTAACAACTTAAATAAAATTATTGACATTATTAAAGAAAGTTTTTCTTGAATTATCACTAATAATCAACCTATTTTAGAATTTAATAAATAAAAAAAAAATTAATTCTATTGCGATTTTTCATTTCCTGGATCTCTTCAATAGCATTGCCCATTCTTAACTAAAAGATGATATGAGTTACATTTAGTTTTTAAGTAATATTTACCCTGTGGAATTAATTTCGTTCATAATCATGACGATAATATTAGTTTTAATTTTTTTTGGATTTAGGTATCAAAAAAGACGAAAATATCTGCATTGTTGATTTATACAATAAAAAATCCAATATTTCTAAAATCATTTATTTAAATACCATTTTTAATCAAATGAATAGGATTAAAAAGATTTTGTAGTAATGTTTATTTACCGAAAAAACAAATAAACGAACTCTTCCAACATTTGATAAAAGAAAAATGGATATGCAACTAATATAATTAAGCTGTATATAAAATCAATGGTTAACTGTAAATTATAATTATTAACAAATTTATTAAAAATTTCTTTGCTAATTAAATATATTGTTTTACCTTGAGTAAATCCAATTCTGGTAAATTTGTGGCTATAACTCTTCTAATATTTAATAAAGAATTTTTTTAAATATTTTCTTTATGTCAATAATATCTGTAAAATCATAAATATTAATTTTTTTCCATTAAAAATTAATAATATCTTTAAAATTATCAATAATACTAGTTTTCATTAAATGTTAATAATATCTCTAAAATCATCAATATTATTTTTTTTTCCTTAAATAATGATAATATCTCTAAAATCATCAATATTATTTTTTATCCATAAATGTTAGTAATATCTCTAAAATCATCAATATTAATTTTTTTCCTTAAATGTCAATTGTATCTCTAATATCATCAATGTTAGTTTTTTTTTCTTTAAATGTTAATAATATCACTAAAATCATCATTTTTTATTTTTCTTATTAAATGTTAACAATATCTCTTAATCCATCTATATCAAATATTTAAAAGTAAAATTCAACCTTATTAATTATTAGATATAGTTTTATTTTATAAATTAGCAAATATATACAATAGCTCCTCTTAATTCATTTATTCAAACTTTTGTACACTCAGTCCGAATCTTAAGATGTTGAACTCTCATTTGCATTTGCAACAAAAATATAGAACAGTGATAACCTAATTTATGAATTATTTATCACTTTAGTAGATTACTCATTTCATTCAACGTTAATAAAGTTGGATGAATCGCTCGATAGTTGCATTTTAAATAATGAATTTTCGATTAAAGATTTGACTGCACAACACTAAATAAGGCGACATTTATGAAACATATCACTAAGAGTTTTAATTCCAAAACTCATCTTTTAAGGGTAGCACACAACGACTCTAAAATTGATTCTATTCTAACATTTCTTTGCTCACATAAGAGAAAAGATTTAGGAATACTAAGCTTATTTCTTTTTATTTCTAACTTTTCAAACTCGTATTTACGTTAATGACGCATTAATGTTTATTGATTCATAATGTATGCAGTATGAGGTTACATATGGATTAGCATGTCATCACGTACAGACTTTTTCTTTCCTTTCTTTTTTTTTTCTTTTTGATTCGCAAGAATGTGGATTCATTTAGTTGGTATGACATTCAATTTTATCCTTGAAAGCGAGAATTCTTATACCCCAATTAAAACAATCCAACGCTGTTTAATTTCATTGTCTGGGCAGCTGTTTTTGATACTCAATTCAAGAAAACACTATATTATAGTTATTATTATTATTATATAGTGTTTTCTTCGGCGGGGATCGAACTCACGACCTCTTGGACATGGCATAATTTGATTTTATCTTTATTTTATAACCGTCGTTAAGCAGCCGACCCAATTTTGGGGTTCTAATGTTCAACTCCGAAGCCTTGTAATTTTGAACCAATTCAGAAGACAAGGAAACGTCTGGATCAGTATCCCCAGAGATATGAATTATTATGGGAACACAGAGGGTTGTGTGACTCAACAAATTTAACATGCATCGGGCACCATTTACTACAAGGGGAATCCTCGACCGGTGGGGATCGAACCCACGACCTCTTGGTCATGGGCCCAGTGCTCTACCATCCAGGCTACCCCGGCCTAGGCACTAGAAAGAGAACACTTGAAAAACACAAGAAAACACTAGAGCTGAT